ATATATATATAATTATACTGACTAACTATATACAATTATACTCATCTTATTTAAATTAAATTCATTAGGAATAACTTAAAACTAATTATATATTAAAAAGATCAAATTAAATAATTATTTTACTATTTTTAATCTTGATTGATAATTTAAAATCACACATTATTTTTTTTATTATATAATGGTTGTTTAACTAAATACATTGTAAAAACCTGTGATGTATATAATTGATTTAATAAATTTACATGCAAAAGCATATAAATATTAGAGTGATAAAGAAAAAAAAATGTAAAAATAATAGCATAAAAAATATTTTTTGATGGCTCAGGTTTAGAAAAATAATATCACGAAAGGAGAAGACAGATTACCCTCAAATCTTAGACATAACATTTTCATGAGGGATGAATATGGTAGTGTTGTTAAAACAACATGAATTTGAATATCCTTTAATGTGCTCAAACAGTCATGTACAAAGTATGCTCCAAACTAAGCAAAACTTTGACCTTTTTCTTCATCAATCAATATTACAAAATAACATTCAAAAGAGAAATTTTAGTCACAGTCCTTATATGCTAAAATATGCAGCAACCATAACAGCAATATAGACAAACTGAAGTGCATTCCTTGCACAATGATTGAGAGTTCCAGCTGAAAGATGTGTGCTTTTCTTTGATGAAGGAGAGTTTGGAAGTGTGGCAGTGTTTTCATCAGATCCAGCCACAGCCTTAGGTGCTATAGTTGGAGCAAATGATTTGTCATCATCACCTTCAACATGAACATGAAGTTTCATTCCTCCAAGACAATACAACTTGTTTCCACTTACAAAATATCTGTCCCCACCTTTTCTCAATGGCACTGTTGTGTTACCATTCCCATATGTTGCCAAAACATTGCTGGTGTTACATGTCTCAAAGTTTTCTTTTGTAACCTCTTCTACGCTTTGGCCTGATGAATACTGAAAAACTGTAAAAAAAATCAAATAAAGTTATCAACTTCAGCTCTACAAGAAGTATCTGCATAAGTTGAATATATCAGTATATCAGAATATGTTGTAGCTATTATATAGGGTGTATTAGTGTAAATAATTCAAATACATTACATATAAGTCCTTTCTATAGTTTTGTTTTGAGTTGAAAGAAGTGTTAAATACTTACCAAGAGCATCTCCTACTTTGAACTTCTTATCAGTAATCCATGTATTAAGGTTTGTGCTAATGTCCCAACCAGAGCTATCTCCAACAGTGTAAGTAGTAGCTGAGCATGTGAAGGTGATAGTTGCAAAACAAAAAAGGAGAGAACAATAGAGCAAAAGTAACTTTTCCATGTTGATAAGGAGTTTTAACTATTTGGACCACAATAGGGTTCTTATATATAGTTGGAGTTTGATAACCTACCCAGTAAAATGACTAAATTAAATATAAGAAAAATATTTTAAAAAATGGAACAAGAAGAAAATAGTAGTTGCTTCTATATTGCAACTTTGGAATGTGTATTTCATTAGGTTGGTGTGGAGAGAAGGGGTTGTGTGGTAGCTGACAGTGGTTAAACCATATTGAACTGCCATCAAGCTAGGTCATGCTACAATTTGATTATGTTTTTCTACCTTTATTTTATTTTTTAATTCAAAACCTTTAATATTAGGAACAGTACTTTTAAAAGTGGTCAAGAAAATAAATTAAAGTAAAAAAGTATTTAAGATGAAATACTAAACAACTTTTTTTTTCTTACACTAGTTCTCTTAGTTTGATTTGTCTAAAATATGATTATGGTGTGTTTATTTAAGACTTAATAGAGAGGAATACCCAAAATATTATTGGGAAAGTTGTTGTATTGATTTCTACCTTCCTGACAACATTTTTCTGCTAAATATTGGTGTAACCATTGCACCACTTTGAGAGATTTTTTTCTTGTGGTGGTAAAGGTTTTCTAACATAGATTATTATGTACTACATAATATAATCTGTTAATTTTTCTTTTGTAAATAATAAAAATATATTATCATATGAATTGTTGCTCAAATAACATGCCCCATAGATAAAAATATTTTTTTCAACAAATAGTTCAATTTTTTTATCTTTTTTAATATGATTTTAACTTTTTAAAGTATAAAATAAATTGTTTTTTTTATTTCGAATTTTAATTACATGAAGAAGACGCCGTCTCGTATTTGATTAGTTGGCTACACTTTTAGGTTTGGGCCTGTAAACCACTACAGCCCACCTACTGGGAAATTACTTTTCGGTTAAAGCTTCCTGCACCCACTCAAATTTCACCACTCACCCATCAAAAGCTTCCGAAAAATATTTATTCCTAAAAGAAGGAGACGAATGATTTATGATTTTTTTTTCCAGAATTGTTTATTGTGTGTTCCAAAAACCAAATTCCAGAATATATAGGAAGAAAATGTCAGGATTTTGATTCACATCCTTATAAAATTTTATATTTTAGATTGTACTATGATATAAATTTTTATATTTGAGGTTATGCATTCTCAAATATAAAAAAAATTGTTTTGAACTAAATAATTTAAAATATAATTATATTTTAGATTATATAATGTAAAATACAACATAAAATTTTATTTTAAATTATATATTTTAAAATACAAAAAATTACATTTTAAATTATACAAATCTAAAATACAAAAGATGCTAAAATAAGATGCGGCTGAGTTATCCTTCCTAATGGACTGAGCGTGTTTCTCTAAAGCCCATTAGGTTGGAATCAACCACACCAATTCAATTCATGAATTATGGAAGAGATGATGAGTAAGTTCTAAAAGATGAGTGTTTCATCCTACACCTCCAACATCTCGTCCTGCACCTCCAAAAATTCCATTTTTAACCTTCTGACATCCTGCACCTCCAACCTTTTTAAAAATTTCATTTTTAACTTTCTTCTCTTTCTAATTAAAGAAATTTTATTTTCTTCTCTTTTTCTTTTAAAGACACTCTACACCACCTCAATGATAATTCTAATTTAATTTAAAATTTAAATATTATTTAATATAATTTTATATTTTAATAATTATTAAAATATGATTTATATTATAATAATAACTATACTAAAAAAATAAAAATAAAATAATTAAAATAAAAATAAAAATAAAATAATAATAATAATATAAAATTTGATTTAATATATTCAAATATATTAAATTATATTAAAATATTAAAATAAATTAAACAATTATTAAATTGTAAATAAAAACAAAAAATTTTAAAAACTTGTTATCGAGAATCAGTTTTGTTTTTTTATTTAAAATTTAATCAATATTTATTTTAACTAAATATTATAGCATTATTTATTATATTTTTATATTTTAATAATTATTAAAATATAATTTATATTTTTATAATAGTTTTATTAAAAATTAAAAATTAAAAATTAAAAATTAAAATAACTAAAATAATATTAAAAATCACATTTAATATATTTAAATATATTTAAATATATTAAAATATTAAACTAAATTAAATAATTATTAAAATTAAAATAAAAATCAAAATTTTAGAAAAATTTATTTATCGGATATCCATATCCGATTATAAATTTATCGGACGTCAATATCCGACTAACGTTTCTAAAATTTTACTTTTTATTTAAATTTTAATAATTATTTAATTTATTTAATATTTTGATATAATTTAATATATTTAAATATATTAAATGTGATTTTTAATATAATTTTTATTTTTATTATTTTTACTCTTATTTTAGTTATTATTATTTTTATTTTTTGATAAAACTATTATAAAAATATAAATCATATTTTAATAATTATTAAAATATAAAAATATAATAAATAATACTATAACTTTAATTAAATTAAATATTGATTAAATTTTAAATAAAAAACAAAACTGATTTTTGATAACAAATGTTTAAAAATTTTTGTTTTTATTTACAATTTAATAATTATTTAATTTATTTTAATATTTTAATAT